GTGTGCCCGCACACACAAAATCACGATTTAACGCTACGATTTAACGATACGATTTAACGACGATTTAACGACCCGTTTTTTTCAGAACTGCCGAAAAGCACATCGAATTTGTGAAAACCATAGCCCTGGCCCAAACGCAGGACCCCGATGCCCCCGCCTTTGATCTCAGAGACGGCGTTTGGTGCCGGTTTGGGGGGTTCTGTTCCGGGAATGGAGGACGTTCCCGTTCCGCTCTGCTCGACTGGAACAGTTGGGGGGGGGTGCAGGGCCGAGTACGATGGCATTAGTTAGCTCACCCCCGACACAGCGGTGAGCATTCAGTCGCTCGCACCGCACGACAGGTTCTCGTGCGCCGCGTAGAGCGCACGCACCTTGGACTCGATCGTATCGACGCTCTTCTTGTGACCGATGAACCTCCCCAGCTCCACGTGCAGCATCTCCTTCGTGTACTTCTTCTTGAGGTCCTTGAAATCACGAGAGCGAAGGATCTCCTTATCCATAGCGGTCAACGACTTGTCGAAGTTCTCCCTCAGCGTCACCGGCTCACTCTGCTTAACCCCGCCCTTGGCCCAAGCCCAGTCGCCCTCGCTGGCGATGGATGCCATCAGTTGAGAGCTGTTGGCCATCATTGCCATGACCTTGGACTTGAACTTTGTCGCGGTGGCCAGGACCGATGTGAGCTTGACCTCGGCGGGCTCCTCGTTCGGCGTGGGAGGCTGCGGAACCTGCGCCTGAGGTTTCACCCTGGGCACCTTCTGGGGCTTCGGGTTCGGGTCGACGGCGGAGCCCGACTGGCCATCGGGGGCGACATTCTTCATCTCGATGTATTCGGACCACGCTTTGTTGAACTTCTCCACCCAGCCGAACTGGATGATGACGTACTCCATGATCCCCGTCTGGGGGTGGCGCTGGATCCATGGAGGGCCCAACGCGATGCACTTCTCCACGCCCCTGATGACGCCGTCCGCAATCATCGGGTCCGACCTTCCGCCCATATCCTCGAAGATCTTGGCGGCCGTCCGATAGTGGCAACCTTGGAAATCTGTCTTGGACCACGTAGTCTTCTGGGATAGTATCGCCTCCCGTTATTCGGCCTTGTTCTTCAAGAAGTCCAAACGAAACTGCTTCGCTTCATCCCTGCTCAGCGCCCTGTACTTGTCCCCCGCCTCCGTGCCCTTCTTGTGCAGCTCGCGAAAGTGGTTCGCCATCGTACTCTGAATGGGGAACCCGCCATCAGCAATGTACCCGTGGAGCTTGGCGAGCTCGGGGTCATTCGACTCCGTCGCGCCGCTAGCCTCGTCGACGCGCTGCGACCCCATGGCGTTCAGGCGCTGCTCGTGGAGCAGCACGTTCTGGGCTGTGAGCTCGGCCACCCTCGGCGCGACCGACGTAGCGTTCCTGAAGGCGACCTCCTCTGCCGACGGAGTCCCCGACGGTGTGCCCGCAGGGTGCGGGAGCCCCGCGTGCTCGACGACTCCAACTCGGTCAAGGCCAGGATCTCGAGGCTCGATCTTGATGCCACCACGATTGCCCGATTCCATCCTTGGGGCGGTCACCGTCAGCAGGCTCGACGACTCTGAGGCGACGTCGTCCATCGAGCGCTTGACGCGGAAGAGCCTACTCATGCCCTCCTTGGTCACCGAGCCAGAGCCAAAGGTCTTCCTCAAGTCCGCGCAATCGATCGCATCGGGCGTCTGTGGCGTGTCCGCTGCTGGATTTGTTCCTGGCGGCGATGCAGCCGCATGCGCTCCGAGCGGAGACGCAAGTGGCGTTGCAGGAGAACTAGCAGGGGAGGCAGCTGGCTTTCTCATCGCGCGCTTAGCGGTGCTCCGCCTCGGTGCCATGTCGGGGTGGTTTGAAGAGATTGCCGAAAGCCTCGTTTGAACCACAATGGACTACGGATGATGCTGGCATGCCCACCCCCCAATCGAGAAATCTCACGCGGGGGAAGGGAGCTCAAAGTCGCGCCCTCAAGGATGGCGAGGAGGGCGGGGGAGCGAGGATTGGAGGTAGTTGCAGCGGATCGTTCCTCCGAGTTCCAGACACCTGAAGACCTGGGGTCGAGGCTCGAGGGGGGCCCAGGATCGAGGTGTGAGGATCGAGGAGGATCGAGGCTCGAGAGCAGGATGATCGAAGACCGATGACTATCGAAGAGGATCGAGAGTCGAAAACTTGAGGAACGTCACCTGGCGTCCTCCCTGGCACGCATCGCGAGACATGTCACCTGAGGCCCGTGGTTGCAGGCAACGGCGGGTCCCGCGGGGGCCCACCGCATCATTTGACGCGTCGCCGTTTCGGATGATGATGCTGATGATGATGATGGTGATGATGATGATGAGTGTGATGATGATGCTTGTGATGATGATTGTGATGTTGAGTGTGATGATTGTGATGATGATTGTGATGATTATCATTATGTCGAGGATGTTTGTGATGATGATTGTGGTGATGACGATGATGATGATGATGTTTTTTTCTTGGCTCGACCACGGTTGCACTCAACGTGAGTTTGCGGCATCTGTGCGAGCAAACGTATGTAGATCTACGAGCTCCTGAACAAATCAAGTGCATCCATCTCTGGAGGCGCTGAACAGCGCTGAGCTTTTCCATCGCCAACGGCATCATTGTCGCTGTCCGCTCCCGTCGTGTCGCCACCATCCTTGCTCTTCTTGTCACGAGATCCACTCTCCGCCGCAGCAGGGCGCTTGCGAGCCGCCGAGCCCTTGACGGGCCCACTGGCGTCGCCCTCCATCTCGGTCGGCGCGTCCGTCGCCGCGGCCGCAGCAGGCTTGCGTAGAGCTGCCCTGGCCCGACGACCCGAACTTTTCAAGCCAAGGTCCGTCGGCAGTTTGTCCCGATGAATCTTGAGGTCGTCCTTGTTGATCTTGTTTGCAGCGAAGTCCTTGGCGATGGGAAGCATGAACTCGACTGCGCCCTTGTAGGCGGGGTGGGTGGCACTCACTTGCTCGTGCTCGTTCTCGATCGCACCCCAGATGTTCATATTGACTGCGAGGACCTGGCGACCCTGCTCGTACAGCGAGAGCAGCAGAGTGCGATCAACCCTCTGGGCCAGACTGATCCGATGCTTTGTTTTCACGTGGGACGCTTCCCAAATAGTCGATGTTCTTGTTGTGTACGTCTGTCGATGCCGCAACTTGTATGACCCAACTGTTAATTCTGCAAGCTTCGTCTCGTCCCCATCTGGCCACTCCACGGTCACCAAGTCAGTATCATTGCTCGGCACCTTATCTGAATTTATCGCCAAGCTCGCCTCGCCCTTACCTTTGGTACCCTGTTTGCGCCTCCAGCCCAGGCACACGTCCCAATTAAACTCGTAAATGAAGCCGTTCTTCACGACGTACTCTGCTGGCTTATGAGACAATGACGTGTTTGCTTTGGCCGACGTTGCCTCAATTGGTTCCGAACCCACCCAAGGCATTTGTTTATACCACTTTGGTGGCTGTTTTTTGGAAGCCGCCTGAGATACAACATGGTTTAGATTCATGATCCTATTCTCCATTGTCTCTTTCCAGTCATCCACTTGTTCTGCGGTCATGCTGAAATTCTTTTTCTTAGTCAACAAAATACTGAGAGCCGACTTGACTTTGCTTCTTTGGAAACTGAAGTTCGGCTGAATGTCGTGCTCCTTTTTAAAGAACTCAATATTCACTGCCATGTCTTCTGTGACAACAGTCGCTTTGCTGGTTGATTTAGCCTCGCACCCGTACTTCACTAAAGTTCGGCCTTTCTTCTCTGCGATCGGCTCAAGAACAGATTTGAAATAGTCATTCGGAGTTCCTTGATACGTATCCCTGTTCTCTTTTGCAATCTTTTGCTTTTTCTTCCCAGGCATTCAATGTTGGATACCGAAGTCTGATGTGCAGTGCGGTGCTCGCAGTTTGAGCCAAAATGGCCGTCTACGGTTGTGAATGTTTGATTGGGCGTCGTCTTCCTCGCCTTCCTCCTCGCCCCCTGCTTCCCGCTTCGTCCTCCTCCCTCCTCCCTCCTCCCTCCTCCCCTGCCCCCCTCTTCCTTTTTTTTGTTGTCTCCTCGCAAAGGGGGTAAAGCGCGCATACCAACAATGAAACTAAACGTCAGCGGACATCTGATTCACAACGCGAGGGGTTCGGGGAGGCATTGACTTATTCAGAACGTGTTCAGCGCTCGGCTGTCCGAAACTGCTAAAACATAACACTTTTCTAAAGAAGCAAGGACATGATGCTTAATATGTACTGATTAAGCAACATAACGCTTGATGCTTAATTTAAGCATCAAGGGACCACAGGGCGGGCGTCGGGGCGTCCGGGTGTCCGGGTGTCCGGGTGTCCGCGCGTCCGGGTGCCCGGGTGCCCGGGTGTCCGGGTGCCCGGGTGTCCGGGTGTCCGGGTGTCCGGGCCGGCGCCCGGGTGTCCGGGTGCCCGGGCGGACGCCCGGGCGGAGGAATAGTCAGATTGTGTGATCACGCCAGTCCCTTGCCAAATCTCGATGACGCACTAAAGGCACGTAGCGGTTGGAAAAAACGGCGCCGTCGCTAACACATCGGCCACCAATGTCATGTCGCACCCATGGGCCATGGCACCCTAAAGCGGCACCATCGCAACATGTTAGTTTCTGGCATCACAGGACTGAGGCATGACGGCACTCAAGTGTCTTACTGCCGCGAACCAATGTTTCGCGACGGTGCCGCCTTCAAATTCCCAGGATCCGAAACCTTGAATCTGGTGATCTCAATTTTGGCGACGGTGCTTGTGGTGAACTACGAAGAGCGCTCGGTGCGCTGCCGGGATTTTTGACAAGAGAGTAGCATATTATTTACTTGCCAGTGAGGACATACTGCTCGAGTTGTTTCATCTGGCGGTGACGTTGACGTTGTAGACAACAGCCGCACAACAATAAACAGAAACATCAGCGACATGTGAGAACCTAGGAGTGGCCCTGTATCGATCTATCCATCCTGCTGTTCCCTCGCCCGCCCCTCCCCCCCCCGCCCGCCCCGCGAGTCGTCGCTGCGCCTCGAGCTCGAGCACAGGGACGGCAAAACCGAGCAGCAGGTGTCCGAGCTGAGCGTGGCGCCTCCACCGCCGCCGCGGCGCTGCCGCGCGGCCATCATCGACGCACTCGAATGTTGCAGACACGCAGGAGCAGAATAGCAGAAGAGACCGAAAAAGGGTTATTCAGCAGTAGTCTTTTTGCTATTTGCCGCAGCTTCGCAGGAACTGCCGTGGAATGCTGAGAGTCGGTGCGTCCGCCCGGGCTTCCCCTTCATCTGGCTTCCGACCTCTGAGGCCGCGCGCCCTCCCCCCCCTCCGCCCCCGGAGCGAGGAAGGGGGCGGACGAGGGGGTGGGTGGGACGGCGCCAGTTATTTGACATTTTCGGGGGACTTCTCCTGTACTGTAGATGGGCAGTCTTTTCTGTTGTACTCCAGCATGGGCTCGACGTGGCTCTTCGACGTGGATTCGACGTGGATTCGACCCGCTCGACATTCATTCGACCCGTATTCGACGTGGGTCGCGGCGCGACGGGACAGGTAAGATCCACCGAGGGTGCAGCATAAGGCCAGGACGGGGACAAATCCGTTCCAGGGCGATCCAGCACGCTCTCGGGAACGTCCCGGAACGCTAAGGCTGCAGCGCCCGATACCATGCTCCAGAGCTGCCGCATCTCAGAGATTCACGGGCTGCTTTCGCCCAAGTGTATTATCGTCTTGACTTCGTCTTACACCCGAAAGACATCTTAGTACAACGCGTGAATTTCCATGGACGCCAGATTTCGTTGAAGAGAATATAAAAATCTGGGCTGGGTCCCGGGCGTTCTCTTGGAGTTTGGTTTATCGCAGAACTGTCGGATCTTTGAACTTGGGCTGCCGTTGAAGAAGATGCTCGGAGTGAAGGCTGCTTTTTAAGAACATGCTCGGAGTGAAGGCCCTGTTCTTAGCGGATAGCTTTCTTAACTCTAAGCTTGTGGAAGTCGATTAATGGAGAGGAAGCGTGCTGCCAAATAATTCCCTACCTAGGCTCTGCCTAGAAGGGTTCTTACTCTCTTAGCTTAAAGGGGCCGGGCAGTGCAAAGCGCCCCGGGCGGTTCCCCCAGTCCCCTGGGAGCGGTTCCCCCCAGTCCCCTAGGAGCTTTATCTTTAGCTTTAGCTTTAGCTTAGCTTTAGCTTAGCTGTAGCTTAGCTTTAGCTTAGCGTTTCGCTTAGCTTTTCGCTTAGCGTTTAGCTTAGCTTTAGCTAGTTTTAGCTAAGCTTTAGCTTAGCTCGAGCTTGGCTGTAGCTTAGCTTTAGCTTAGCTGTTGCTTAGCTTTAGCTTAGCTTTAGCTTAGCTTTAGCTTAGCTGTAGCTTAGCTTTAGCTTAGCTGTTGCTCAACTTTAGCTTAGCTTTAGCTTAGCTTTAGCTTAACTTTAGCTTAGCTGTGGCTTAGCTTCAGCTTAGCTTCAGCTTAGCTTTAGCTTAGCGTTACTGATACTACTAATGCTGCTTTCCTAGGGGTTCCAACTCCTAGGTAGGGTCGCACTGGGATGATGCCCAGATGTCTAAAAGATGTTTCAATCATGCTTCAAACATGTAAAGAAGCATGCTTGAAACATGATTTACACATGTTAAACGCATCTTCAGCTCAATGATAGGATTGTTAGAGTGTCCATTGTCATGGCATCCACAACTCTAAGCCGCGGTTAGGGGGGGGGCGGGAGGGAGAGGAGGGGGGGCAGAAGGCAGGCGCCGAAGCCAGGCCGGCAGTCGTGAGGGGGAGGTCCCGTCGCCGCCCCGCGGGCTCGCGGAGGAGAGCAGCGCGTCCCTCGATGTTGTTTTGTCCGTGATGCGGGCAAGACGTGTGTCCATATCCATTCAGCACGAGCGAAATGGGTATGGAAAGAATGGGTACGATGCCCAACAGCAGTGCCTGTTCATCTTGACCAGGACTCGCTGTTCGCGCCGCCGCGGCTTGTGTCCGTTTGAGACAGAAGGCCGCTTGCCCAACAGCGGCCGCTCTTGGTTTGGGACGGCATTTGTTGCTCTGCATTGTGCCCATTTTTTCCGTACCCGTTTCGGGCGTCCAAATCCATTGCAGCGTGGGGGTTCGGGTTTCCTTTCCGTGAAACCCGAGGCGCACTGGACATGGATGAAAAGTTGGCCTTTGTAGGGACTCGATTCTTATCCATACACCTTGCGCCTCGGCCTTGCGGCGCCCCTGCCAAGATAGTCCAAGACGCATTGGATATGGATATAAGTATCGCCCGCACGTGATGCTGGTGGAGGTCCCATGGGTGTCAGCTGCATGCGTCGCAGGGAAGTGGGAGGAGGGAGGGGAGGATCATCAGTGGGACCACTGGGGTAAATTCGTGCCCCACGGGAGGGGGAGGGGGCGGACGAGGTGGGAGAAGGGCGGGGCGGAGGGAGGGGAGGAGCAGCGGGAGGGGAGGGGAGCTCCGGGGCGCAGGGGGCGGGACGTGAGCAGGCCGCAGAGATGTGTTCACTGCAGTGCACCCTCCCGTGGGAGCTCCTCCCCTACTTCAGCGGTCAGGGGCTTGCCGGTTCTGGCCCCCCCCCACGCCTCGGCGCGGCACCCAGACCACACCCCGGCCCCCGAGAGCGGCAGCGTCCCGAGAGCTCCTCCCCGCCCCCCCGCCCAGCGGAGCCGAGCGACGCGCTGCCCGACTGCAGGGTGCAGCGTGTCTCCGGGGCCGCCCGCCAGCGACACGCGGAGCAAGAGACGCGCCAGGGTTATCGGGCTTGCCCCGAATCATCAGGGGTAATTCGGGTCAGGGATAACTCGGGTTCGTTTTTCGGGAATCCAAACCCGAGTTACCCCGGACCCGAGTTACCCCGGATAACTCGGGCGTCCAGAGCCCCGAATCATCAGGGGTAATTCGGGTCAGGGCTAACTCGGGTTCCTATTTCGGGAATCCAAACCCGAGTTACCCCGGACCCGAGTTACCCCGGATAACTCGGGCGCCCAACCAGGGTTATCGGGCTTGCCCCCCCTCCCCCTTCCTCCCCAGGATGACCTAACCTTGCCGCTCGTGCAGGTCCGCGGGAGGGGGGGGGGCGCGGGCACATGCAGGGCTGCCCGCAGCGCGAGGGTTCGTAGGCGGCCGGCCCCCTCCTTCCCCCCCCCCCGGGATAACCCGAGTTGTCGCCGATAAAAAAAAACGGTCTCCAAGGATTCCTGACCCGAAGGAACTGAAGTCTTTTGGCTTTTGTTCCCTACGAGCGCGCCCCGCTGCAACGCCCCGTTGGCTTTTGTTCCCTACGAGCGCGCCCAGCTGCAACGCCAGCACCGCTGGGGCCTGCCGTCCAAGCGAGGGCCCCGCCTCGAAGAGGGGGCCCGCACGGCATCCCTCGTCGCGAGCGGCAGGGGCCGCGAGGCCGCGTGGCCGTGCAAGGCAAGGTGATGTCCAGCGAGGTCCCCGCTGTGAAACGGTACTCCAGATTTCGTAGTAAAAGGGAGGGGGGTCTCATTTCGGGGAGGGGTCTCTTCCAGGCTATCTTGGAGGGCCTGGGGGGGTCTGGGGAAGATGTTTTGGAGGGTTCTCCCACGGGGGAGGTCTGAAATGGCTTGTCTTGGAGGGTCCAGACCCCCTCCCTTTTATTACGAAATCTGGAGTAGCATCCCCAGCTGTAGGCATGCTGCTCAAATATTCAACGCTGGCCACGAAGCTGGAGAGTAGGGGTGGAGCGAGAGAGCTCCGCTTCGGAGAAGAGAGCCGCCCTCCTGTGCAGCCGTCACACGTGTACAAGCTCGCGGCGCACCTGTTCATCTAGCGCCAGCGAGAGCCATCGGCTGAAGAGGAGCCGCCCTTGTTCTTTGCAGCCGGTAGGACATGTTCAAGTCGTATGTGCGTGGCGCTATAGCGAGGGCCCCCCTGTGTGAGTCGAGTGCGCGTGACGTTAATGCCAGAACCTCGTTTTCAAAGGAGCAGTTCTGCGTCTTTGTTACTGATGCAAACTTGTAAGACGAGTGCGCTCGGCGCTAATGCGAGAGTTTTTGTTGGTTCAAGCGCCCCCCCCACTCTTGTAGCTGCTGCAAGCGGGCAGGAGGAATGTGCGCGGCGCTAGGGCGAAGGCTCCAGTCCGAATACGACACCCTCCCGTCATCGTAAAACGAATGTGCACAGCGCTGAGACGAGAGGTCCGTTTTGAAAAGAAAGCATTCTCCATCTCCGGCAGTGTTTTAATATTTCAGGCGATTGCGCGAGGATCCAATCAGAGAGTTTTATTGGGCTGTCCTCCGGCCAGTGCCGCCGATCCAGGGGGGGTGAGAGCGGTGTTTCGGCAATTCGGGGCCCTCTTGCATTGTCTAGGGGGCCTCTGGGGCCTCTCTTGGCTTCCTCTTGGGCTGTCTTGGGAGGTCAGGGCTCGGGACGTGGAGTTTTCTATACCCCCCTGTCCCCGGGTACCGAAAAACTTCGGCAATGACGTCGGAAATAACGACCCCCCCCGCAGAGCGAAGCTTGAGTCCACGCTCTCAGAAACTCACACGCCGGATCTGCGGATTCGGAAAGCGACCCGACCCCCCTTCCGCCTTCATCATTGTCAGAGTGAGGGGGCCGAACGGTCATTCACTGTCCCTGGGTGCGTGGCTGAAGTGGGATTCCGCGGTGCGGATTCGTGTTGTTGTTGTTGTTGTTGTTGTTGTTGTTGTTGTTGTTGTTGTTGTTGTTGTTGTTTGTTGTTGTTGTTTGTTGTCGTCGTCCCACCCGCCACCCGCCCCGCGACCCACCGGCGACCCACCCCGCGACCCACCCGCGACCCACCCGCGACCCACCCGCGACCCACCCGCGACCCACCCCGCGACCCACCCCGCGACCCATCCCGCGACCCACCCCGCGCGACCCACCCGCGACCCACCCGCGACCCACCCGCGACCCACCCCACGACCCACCCCGCGACCCACCGGCGACCCACCCGCGACCCACCCGCGACCCACCCCGCGACTCACCCGCGACCCACCCGCGACCCACCCGCGACCCACCCGCGACCCACCCGCGACCCACCCCGCGACCCACCCGCGACCCACCCGCGACCCAAACCACGTTCAAGGTGCAAACCAACATTTTCGGCGCCTGCG